ATACCTTTTGTGTTTGTATGTCCCTAAAATAATTAAAATCTTATATTATACAGTAATGTATGATGATGAGGTGAATATCCAAGTCTATTGACATTGCTAATGTGATTTTCACAGAGGCCAAAGGCAACACAGGGAAATAGGTAGACCGTTGTCTTATAATAATAATTTATAATGGTATTATGATAAACGTAACCTGTAATAAGTCTAGTAACATGCTACCTGCTAACCTGTTGTGTTGTTTCTTCACATTGAATACAAGTTGGAAAAAAATAAAATTCAAAACTATTTAAAAAAAAAAAGATCATGAACCTGAATCTATGTATCTATAAAAGAAACTAGAACTATCACTAAATGTGATTAATACCCCCACAAGACTGCTTCGGAAATGAGGATGTTACTTGTAACAGAATACCTTGTAAAAGAATTGAAATATAGAGTTATGATTGTGGGCAATTAAAGATAGTTGTGGTTCTTATATGTTGCATTTCCTTTCAATGTGGTTGGCCATTGATGAAGTTTAATTGAATTACTCTGCAATAAGTCCAGAAATACAAAGAAAAGGAACAAAGGGCAATAACTCTATAAATACTGAAGATAGAATTATCGTTCTTGTGCACTGCACTTCCTCTTATTGTACTTGGTCATTGTATGAAGTTGTTTTGAATTCCAACCAGTACGTTTTAAGTTATGCTCCTGACAAGAAAAAGTATCAAAGGGCAGTAACTCTGTATTTTGTCAGAATGGAGTTATGGCTCTTGTGCACTGAACTTCCTTTTAATGTCCTTGACAACTGTATGAAGTTGTATTGAATTCCAAACAGTAGTTTTCAAGTTATGCCTCTGGACAAGGAAAAGTAACAAAGGGCAATAACTCTGTATTTAGTCAAGATGTAGTTATGGTTTCTTGTGCACTGCACTTTCCCTCAATGTGCTTGACCATTGTATGAAGTTATATTGAATTCCAAACATTAGTCTTCAAGTTATGGTCCGGACAAAAAAAGGCAATGGAAAAGTAACAAAGGGCAATAACTCTGTGATTACTTTAGATAGAGTTATGGTTCTTGTGCACTGCACTTCCCCTTATTGTGTTTGACAATTGTATGAAGTTGTTTTGAATTCCAACCAGTAGTTTTCAAGTTATGCCCCGGACAAGGAAAAGTAACAAAGGGCAATAACTCTGTAATTAGTCAAGATAGAGTTATGGTTCTTGTGCACTGCCTTTCCTCTCAATGTGCTTGACCATTGTATGTAGTTATATTGAATTCAAACCATTAGTCTTCAAGTTATGGTCCGGACAAAAAAAAAAGCAATGGAAAAGTAACAAAGGGCAATAACTCTGTAATTACTTTAGATAGAGTTATGGTTCTTGTGCACTGCAATTCCCGTTAATGTGTTTGACAATTAAACGAAGTTGTTTTGAATTCCAACCAGTAGTTTTCAAGTTATGCCCCGGACAAGGAAAAGTAACAAAGGGCAATAACTCTGTAATTAGTCAAGATAGAGTTATGGTTCTTGTGCACTGCACTTCCTCTCAATGTGCTTGACCATTGTATGTAGTTATATTGAATTCCAACCATTAGTCTTCAAGTTATGCTCCGGACAAGGAAAATGCAACGGACGTCTGGACCGACCGACCGACAGACCAACCGACCGACCACCGGGTGACTCCTATATACCCCCCCCCCAAACTTCGTTTTTGGGGGTATAAAAATATATACTAGTATACCCATCACTGGAAAAAAGAGAAATGTTCAATTTTGAGCTGATTGATGCTTGTACTTATATTTAACATTAAAGTATTAGTCACATGGTATTTGAATATTTGAGACCAAACTTAGGATTGTACTAAACAAATGCTGTTCTAATAGTTCAAATACCTTCTCCACTTTTGACACAAAAAGAATTAAGATCTTGGAGTCGAGATTAAAATCTTAAATGTGTACGTAAAACTTAACATCTAATAATAAAACTGAGAAAAATAACCCCTTAATAAGAGCTTTCTTAGAAAATCATGATGGTCACTAAAAATCTTGTCAAACTTTCTATTTAAACAGGAATAAAATCTAAAACTTAGTCTTATTTACATTAATTCTCTAATGAAACTACATGTAATTAAAACAAAAGATAACATTGCCTAGTTTTTGTTCAGAGGTAAAAATTGGAAAAAAATACTGTTGCACAAAAGACAAAAAATTTGAAAACCATGTCTTCCACTAAATGCACAACAACAGAAAAACAACAATAAAATAATGAGAATAAATAACTGTTGCAACAAGTGTTTAAACAAGTATACCCCACTCAAATAGTTCTTTACAATTCTTGTATAGGAACTCTCAAAAGGGTCATGTTCAAGTTCTTTCTTTTTTCCAGGTATCTGATGTAAAGGTTATAGTTGTACATCAAAACAATTTAAATGAATATATACAGTACTATGTGTACTACGGTAGCTAGATTTTTTTTATTTTTACCAAATATTCTACAGCTTCTTTTTTTCCAAAGCTAGAATTGTTTACAAGCACATCAACAACTAGATAGTCTTTTGAATTACTGTATAAAGAAAACAACTACTTCTCACCAGTTAATATCAATAAATAAATCAACATGTATCAGTTGGCGTAAAACCTCACAACTTTGACTATTGTAAATGTGCAATTACTTGATTTTGTTTCAAACAAATCAGTACATATGCAGCATCTGTAAACTAAAGATTCTTATATAACCAAATAAATCTTTCTTGATTCTTATATAACTAAATAGACCTTTCTTACAAGTTTCTAAAGTATCATTTATTGTCTTGTTTTGTATCAAGTTGAGTAAAGGACCCAATTTCCATTATGTGCATTATTCTAGACCATCTATTGGTTAGAAAATCAGCTTTATTTAAATGACTAAATGTTGCAAGCAGAATCGTACATACAAAAGGAAGTATTTAGACTGGGGTAATAAATCTCACCACAAATGTTTGTAGAGGAGTTCCCTGGAAGGCATCAATCAGACGTATAACCTGACCATTTGTTGATACTACTATCAGTTTACCATCAGGACTAAACTTCATCCCTGTCCAATCACAATCTTTATCTTGTGGTAGTTTAAATGTTGCAAATGGACCCTTAAACATGGAAAATTTGAAAATAAAACAATGATACATGTACCTAGTTTACAAGGACAGATAGTTTACCAATCCATTTAACCAATAAACCTAATGGAACCAACAGTGTTTAACCTTTGCTACCAGTATTTAGCAATACAATCTGGCATCTGTCCTAGTGCAGTCTAACAGGCTCTACTGATGGTAGCTCAATTTTTGTATTTTGATATTGAAACTCCTTTTTAAATTTTGAGTGAATTATTCCAAATTCAAAGCAGGGCTATTTTATTGCACAAATTCATCAGTTTAAGGGTTAAAGGCACCGGTGTTTATTTTTGTGTTTTATAGTCACTTCATTAAAAGTTATTTGCAGCTATCCATAAAACTGTACAATAATCACTTAAAAGTAATAAATCAAAATTTAAATGTCTTTGTCTCTAATAAAATCTACAACATAAAGTGCAACTTCAGACATATATCTTTTTAACAAATATGATCTTATTAATTGTCTAGTTTAAAAAGCTTTTTTATTTACCATTGACTTTTTTTCCAAGATGATTTGATCTCTTTGACTTAACTCGTAAGATTATTTCATTAAAAAACAAATGTGTTTTAAATTTAAACATATTTCTTACCCTGTCAAATGAACGAAGGTCATAAAGTTTGACACATTCCGAGTTTATACCAGCTGCAAAGATAAGACCTTCAGGATCAAAGGTTGCCACTGGTCGACCTGGTAAATGCATCTGTCCCTGAATAAAATATTCACCTTGATAATACATTATAACTTTCAGTAGAAATCTTTAAAAATGTTCCTTGAAAAGCAAGTGACACATAGCATTACCTGGCTATAATACTCATTTATTGTTTAAGGGTCTTTATCATTTTTGTAATTTTTGTCTTGTTGTCTTGTAAATATTTGTAACCACTTTTACAAAGGAAGATGAAAGTAACTTACATGCATAATTTTGTTCTGACCTCATCAAACTAAAAAGTATTTTTTAGGGAAAAAAATCTTACACAAAGCGGTTTTATTTTCAAACTTGCGTTGAACCCCATTCATGCTTTTCAAACCATTTGAAATGCATCTTGCACTGCTAAGAAAATGAATAAAGAACATATGAGCTGTGCCATGACAAAACCAACATAATGGGTTTGCGACCAGCATGGATCCAGACCAGCCTGCGCATCCGCACAGTCTGATCAGGATCTATGCTGTTCGCTTTTCAACACTATTACAAGTGGAGAAACTGACAGCGAACAGCATGGATCCCGTTCAGACTGCGCAGGCTGGTCTGGATCCATGCTGGTCGCAAACCCACTATGTGTGTTTTGTCATGGCACGGCTCATATTATTAATTTACCTGACAGTTTTGTGATCTGAGATCCCACAATCTAATGGTCTTGTCCAAAGATCCTGACAAAAATGTGTCATTTATTGGTGACATATTCAGACATACTACCCTAGAAAATATGAAAGCAAAGACACTATTTTAACAAATATCTTTTCAAAACAAACTTTAATTTTATATTATTCAAACACACATGAACAGACAAATCTAATATCAATTTAATCAACTGAATTTTCATATTTCATTTAACAATTAAGAAAACCTACAATGAAGACTATCAGTAAAGAAGAGTACTTTAAAAGTTATTGGCCTAGTGGTTAAGATGAATGCCTCTCAATCCAGTAATAGAGGATTCAAGCCCTACATAGGTTAAGATTATGTTTCCTTGTATGTCACAAGGGTGTGCAGTACTACTGGTTAATTCCAGGACTTAGGAGTTGTTCAAATAAGTTACAAGCTTTTTTTTACAATCCAGCTGAAATAAGTACATGTATTATTTTAAACTAAATTAAACTGACAGTCCAGGTAACCGACATTGTACTGGTAATTTGGTGTTGTAGTACAGTTTGGTCGCCAGTAACGAATCTTCTCCAGTAGCGAATCAAAATCGTTAAACTTACTATCTATAATTATTATTGTCAAAGAAAATGTTATTTAAACGCTGTTATTGTTTTCAGGAACCTTTAGCAGATATGAATACACTTTGTTTACTTTCGATGGTGACCTATTTATTTTCCCATGATGCTATCCGTGTTACAGGTACCCGACATGTACACAATTGTAGCCTCGTTTTGAAACATAAAATTCGGAACGTCATACTGCGCTGATTTAATTTGATATTTCTTTTCAAAAGCTTAATAGCATAATTAAAGGTAAGTTTCCATAGACCAAAATAAAACAAAAAATACAAACTAATAATAATGTTAAACAATTTATTTTCGCACCAATGTAAGCACATGTGTAGTCGCCAGTAGCGGTTAACAATAAAAAAAAACACGCAATATGGCGGGTAAACTAGGCAACATGGGGGTCGTCTCAAACATTATTTGATCTGTCAAAATTACTTTTTCCATTCATTTCTTTTTTGTTTTATATGATTTTACTTATAAAAAACTCAAGTTTACAAGCAACTGATTATTAACATATGTTTAGTCAATACAATCTGTAGACAGTAGTATATTAAGTTCAATATTACATAGTTGTGTATAAAAAGTTTTTATTTATGAACTATAATTGTTCATGTAGGCCCTACAGTTATTTAATTTTATAAGATATAAATATTACATTTAATTTCAGATTATGGGTCCAAAGCATAAAGGGCCAGGAACTCCTACCCAGAAAAAGGCAAAGACGATTCTAAAGAAGTATGGTAGAAGAATGACCCCTGACAAGAGACAAAGACTGAGGAAGGCATTATTTAGTGTAAGTAAGGAAGGAAAATCATTGAGGAAAGCAGCAGAGGAAAATTCACTTACTTATTCCTTTCTGTATAGACGTTATTCAGGAAAAGTAGACTTGTTTAAGTGTAAAGGTCCAAATTCTGTTTTTACTGAAGCTGAGGAGGAGAAAATGGCTGAGTGGCTTAGTGAAATGGCACAGCGTGGGCTTGGTTTAAAACCATGTGAATTTTTAGATTTTTTGGAAGATGTTGTGAAACGAGAGAAAAGAAAGACACCTTTTAAGTCAGGTCGGCCTGGTAAGAAATGGTATTATGCATTTCTTAACAGAAACAAACATATTATCAGCTCCCGGACAGAGACTGATTTAGAATTGAAGAGGTCAAAAGTCACCAAACAGAAAACAGATGAGTGGTATAACAGGTTTAAGGACTTCCTTATTGATAAGGAGTTGATCAATTTGCCTGGCAGAATCTGGAATGCAGATGAAGTGGGATTTAATATGGGAGCCAACAAAAGTAAGGTTATTGGGCCTGCGAGAAGAGATTTAGCAGTACCTCACATTACAAGTGGGAAGCAAAGGCTAACTGTTATGTTTTGTGGTAATGCTGCAGGACAGATGTTACCACCCTACTTTGTCTACCCAGAGCCTAAACCAAGGGGATACAACCCACTGAGTGGTGCATTGGAGGGAGCAGATATCGCTTACACCCAGAAGGGATGGATGAATAACATAACATTTGGAAAATTCATCGATCACTTCGACAAGTTCGCTGGACCAGAGCGACCTATCGTCTTGCTTTTTGACAGTGTGAGTAGTCACATTGACCCAGACATTTTTCTAAGTGCAAAGGCAAAAAAGGCATCGAGTTATATAGGATTGTGCCAAATGCTACCCACTTGATGCAGCCTTAGATAAGGGTGTTTTTGGGCCAATGAAAACAAAATGGCATGGTGTGTGTAGAAAATACACCCGAGAAAATCCAGGCAAAACAATTGAAAGGAAAATTTTGCACAGAAACTAACAGAAGCATACTTACAGTTTTACAAACCTTTAACTGTAATTAATGCATTTAAGGCATCAGGCATCTACCCTGTAGATAGCACCGTGATCACCAGTGATATGTTAAAGCCGTCATTGACTTTCAGTGATAGTGCGTCTGCAACAACACCTGAGAGTACCTCAGAACAACAAGCATCTGTGACTGAAGAACAGTCAAAGGCCAGAGGTGCACTAGAAATGCTTGAAGAGAGTCTCTCAACTCCTGCTAAGGAAAGGTATGAGACACGTCTGAAGGAAGGATATGATTTGGAAGGAGTATCACCTTGCTTTGATGTTTACAAGAAACTTCACAAGAAAGCATTTCCAGCTATAGACTCACAGCCATATAGTGGTCTTGAACTTCTTGCTGATGCAGCAATATTTCGGAAGGACCAAGAACAGCCTCGTCCTAGTTCCAGCTGTTCCATTGTATCACCAATACTGTTGGAAAGCTTGAAGTTGCCAAAGGTTGTAGAGCCCCCAAAGCCTGTTAGAAAAACTTTAACAAATATTCTTCCTGATAATTTAACATCAGCAGATAGTATAAGAACTTTTTCTCTGAAACAGATAGAAAAAGTGAAGGTATTTGCTGAGAAAGAAAAAAAGGGAAAAGAGAAATACATTAAACAAAAGAGTAAACAGCAATGTCCTAGCAGAAAGAAAGGTTCAAGGTCACTGTCAGCAAAGGGGAAAGTGCCTATGTCTGCCTCTGAAAAACTCCAGAAAGATGTCCAAAGTGATAATGATGATGTGTGTTGTGAAGCTTGTCACATGACATATAAGGAGGATGAGGAACTGGGTTTGGGTAGAGTGTGGGTAGAATGTGACCTTTGCCAGAAATGGATGCATACAGATTGTCTCAATTATGAAATTAATGAAAATGACCCATTCCTATGTCCTAGATGCTATAAAAACTGACACTAAGTGCTAAATATCACTATATTGAGGTAGTTTAGATGAATATTAGTTTTTTTCCTGTTAAACTTTATCTCACTAACCAATCACTAAGTTCCATTCATTTTTTTTATCAAGAGTGATTAAAGAGTAGCAAATTAAGAAAGTAAAGCATATAAATATATATATATTGTAAAACACTTTAATAATAATAATAACAATGTGCATAATAATACTATTTGTTTCTTTTTTAGCCTTTTGAGTTATATAATTTTTTTTTCTGGTATTTTTTTAGTATTTAAATGCCTTACTTATACAATATTGTATCATTAATACAAAAGCTGTATTCCGAGTTGCTTAGATATAATATATTATATTTTCAGTGTTATGCAAATGATGGGCCCCTCTACTGACAGACCTACAAGTAGCAGATGTGACCAATCACCTGTTGGGAAAATGCCTTCAAAAACCCCCACAAAAATTTTACTGAAAAACTGTGTTATTAAAGGCTATCATGTCTTTCAAATCCGTCCTCCAAAAACAAATCCACCTACACAACTAACTATTGATAGAGAGTACACAAATACCCATGATGCAAATGCTTGTCTTGTCTGGCTCCCACCTTTGGAAACATTCCCAGAACATATTCATGATCAGTTCACTGACGAAAAAAGACAATTAATTTTAAGTGATGTAGCCGGGTTACCTATTGGACATGTGCCTAAATGTCTCAGTGAGGTATTTTGTTGATGTCATGGATAATGGTGGCAAGATATTTGCTGAAGTCACTGGGGGACCCAGTACCTAGTTTTCCACCATGGCCATCTAAAGACCAGGAAGGTGGTGGCATGTTTTACCTTGCCAATACTCGTTTTTTGATATTTTGATATTGATGTGTTTTAATAAACTTAAGAAATGTTTTTGGATAATGTCACTGAGGGCAAGATTATGGAACTTCTGAAAGAACTATAAGCATGTTAATTTGTTATAATCACAAGCATATGTCTCATTTTATTAGCAATACTAAAGGATATAGGCTAGCTTTTATTAAAGGCGTTAAAGTACATCTCATTATCATGTTTTTTTGCAAGTTTGAATATGTAAGTTCATTTTAATAAAAATCAGCTGTTTTCTGTCAATATTGTCTGTTTTGAGAAAGTCCCTGCATTCAAATGTCACGTGATTCTTTACTGGAGATACTGATTCGCTATTGGGGAATCAGCGATGGCTAAAAAAGAAACTGAAAGTTATTCAAAAGAAAGGTTTTTTTGGATAAATCTGTGTTTATTTATTGCATGTACTAATAACAGTAAGAAATATGTAATGATAAATTAAACATCATTATCTTACATCGAAATTTCAGTAATTGTTCCGGAAGTGATTCGTTATTGGCGACTAAACTGTACCAAAGTACATCATCAACAATAATGCCTGTAATGCCTTGGAATTTTAATACAATCCAGTGTGTTACAGGGTTCCCGCTGTCGCTCGCCAATGGCGCCAAATGCGACAAAATATTAATTCTGGCGCATAAAATCTTTAATTGGCGAATTTTACTGGCGCCAACGTAAGATAAAAGCATCCGACAACTAGTACACTTAAATGTCATAAGCGGCCGCGTCAATTACATAAGCGGCCCAAATGTGAAAGGTCACGCGCTATTAGTTTGTTTATCGGTACCGTATAATCAATTATGTCATCAATTGTGTGACACTTTGGGAACATGTGAAGATGAGAGTGGTAATTTGTTAATTGGAACAATTTACGACTTGGAGCACTGATAATTACATGTGTGGTCAACAGGTGTTAGTAGCAAACAGAGAAGTGAAAGATCGTCCCTGAAAACCTTAAACTTTAGGTAAGTTGACTCAAATAATTACAGTTTTAATATTAAATCGGATGGCAATTAAAGGAATAATTTCACTAATGATTGATCTAAAGCCACTGTTACTGCAATGTTAATATTTTCATATCTGATTGTAAAGGGCTGAAGTGTCTATTCATATGCAAACCCTATTAAAAAAATAAACAATATTTTTTATTGTTAAAAATACTTAGTATATATTTCATATTTTGTTCTCATTGATTTTTAGATGAAGTCAATTTATAGTAATGTTTTGTTTTTTTTATTTTGTATCTGTAGATCACCAGATTGTCGGGTAGAAGCTGTGAAAGATCTTGGCTCAGTCCAGCCTGTGAGAAGAACTGCTATACTGGCAAAACGGTGGAAAACAGGATGACTAACTTAACATGATGTTCTTGATTACATCTATGCTGTCATGTGTATTTTTTTAAATAGAATTTGAAAACCACATAATAGTATGTCTATATTTTAGATAATAAACATGTGCAGCTGTAATAAAATGAAATATTATAAATATGTGTTTGTAATCATAATGATATATAACTGCTAGCATATCTTAGCAAAGATAGGCATGTCTCCCTTGCAGAATTATTGGCTCCAACTTTGGAGCCATTGGCTCCAACTTTTTCTGATTGGCGAATTTGGTGGCGCAAACTAATTTTGACCCAGAGGGAACCCTGTGTTAAATATTAAGATTGTATATGGCAATCATGATATTAACTACACAGTACATATCAATTTTGTACTTACTTTTTAGTGTGTCCTGGGAAATACCGGATATATTTGTTGTCATGCAGTGATAAATACCTTATAGTATCTGTAACAAATTGGAATGTTCGTGTTAAAGGTCACATATATAAATAAATAAATAAATAAATATCATGCTGCACCAATCAAAAATATGATGTACCAGTACATATTACAACTTTAAAATACATCAAATAGTAAAAAATGTTATTTGCCTCATAAGTATATTTTCAAATGAGAACTTAAGGACGTTTTCTGGAGTTTTCAAATAGACATATAGGCAAAATTAAAACTGTTCAATAGAATTTCTTTAAACTTGGCATGTTGTTAGAATATGATAAAAGAAACATTTTAAACAAAAAAAAAATTGGGGTCACCATTCTCATTTTCGAGTTATCTGCCCCTGAATTGGACTTTTTCGTTAAATTCAAGGGCAGATAATTTACAATGAAAGGAAACAAAACATTTTTTTTTCTTATTTTCATGAAGCTTATCTTCGTTTCAGTCGATATGCAAAATTTCAAGAAGGAATTTAGAGTAGATAATTTTTTTTCACTTCTTATGTTAACCTGTGCATTTTTTCTTAAAAAATAGCCTATTTTTTAAAAATTTAAAGTATATTTATTTTCATTGAAGTTTTTTTACAGAAATAAAATAAGAAATTGCATGTTATTATGTATCGTACGCAACAATAAAAAGAAAAACATAATTCAGAAGTTAAAGTAAGAATTTATTTTAGTATGTATAAGTTATCTGCCCTTGAAATGACCTCAAACAAGTAGAAAATTCTCATTCAGGGGCAGATAGCTCAAAACACGAGAACGGTGATCCCAATTTTTTTTCTCTAAGAATGTTTCTTTTATCATATTCTAACAACATTCCAAGTGAAAAGAAATTCTATAGAACAGTTTTAATTTTGCCTACATGTCTACATGAAAACTCCCGAAAACATCCTTAACTAATTTTCAATCTGGTTACCAACAACTTACATGAATGAATGGTATCATAACATGTAGATCTCTTTACTTAAAGTAAAGATTCAGGGTTCTCACTAGGACTTTAAAACATGGAGTCCATGGACTCCCAACCCTGAAAAAGTTGGAGTCCAAAAGCGCGTCGCAATTAATATGTTTACAGATTAGTCATTCAATGTTCACAATAGCATTGCTGATATTTTGAATGTTCAAGAGACTTCCAAAGTAAATAGTTATTCAAAAGAAACTCTGAACTACATAGTATAATTATTGTTTTGTTGTTAATATTTATTATGAAATTATTTCATTATAATGCATCAACCCATGGAAATCGGTTTTTTTTCTCCACTTTATACCAAATCAAATTTTTCTCTGGTTAAATA